GAATGTAGCGAATTTCTCTAGCAATGTCCAATTTGGTCATTTTGAATTAGTATGGAAAGTTTGGGAAATTATCGAAAAAAATATTTTGTCTTGAACTTTAGGGTCCTTTTTCTTAATCTAATTATTCAATTTTGCTTAAAAATAATTTAGGGAAAAAAAAAAAATTCTTGAAAATATAATCAAGATTGTGAGTGAGTTCAAGGAAGCTAGTGGATGCTGGGGTTAATTTCAAGTTGAAAATTTTGAATTCAACTTTTATGATTTTATCTTATCCCATTGAATAAAAGTCTACTATTAAACAAATCCCAAATTGGTGGAACCATTTGTCAAAAACCCAACTTGAAAAGGCTAAAGTCCTACAAATAATTGTTCCCAATTGAAGCTAGCCTCACATTCATCCACTTGAATTAAAATTGATGGACATTGAATCCTGTCATGTGTCCAAATATAGTCACATATATCCAAGGTAGTGACAACTACTCTAGTAAAATAATAATAATAATAATTAAATAAATAAGTCTACCCTATGACAAACTTAAGAAAAATTAAGTCCCCAACCTTTTAAAAAAAAAAAAAATTAGAAGAAAAAAGAAAAGGAATATTTAAAGGGAGGTTTTTTTTTTTAGGTACTTTATTTAGAGATTTAGAAGAAATACTGAATAAAACAAAGGGTATCTTTTCTATAATGAATACTTTTTTAATAAAATAAAGGGTTACTTTTCTATAATGTAGAGGATGCGAGTCTTGTCGATTATTATTAAAACCATGCATGTTTATGATTAACTAAAGGGTTTGTATATAAACAACAGGACAAAAGATTCAAAACTATATAATAACAATACACTATTTTTCTGGATTTGAGATAATCTAATGTTTCTACAAGGTAGCCCAACCCAAACAAACATATACTGGATTAACTCGGGCCAAGCCCAACTCAATGTAATGTTCCTGACTTGCAGCCCATCACAGTTCTTTCTTTGACCTTTTTTTTTTTCTTTTTTTATTTATTAGTAAGAAACTTTACACTCTCATTTATGCTCCATTTAATGATATTTTAATATTTTAACTCGAAATAATATATTACATGAGTGTTACACCTTCGATGCAAGTGTGTTGAATAAGTGTTACTTCGTATAACATTGTTGCACGGGTGTTGTATTCGCGATGTAATGTGTTGCATTGTTGATTTAAAGTGTATTAAATAGTACTGAATCCCAGAATATCCAGATCCATGTAAAAAGATAATAGAGTAAGATTTTGCCGTGCCAAAATTAGTGTGAGTATGTTGATTGTTGCTAAGTCTCAAAATATAACATTACACGTATGCTTAAATTAAATTTTCAATACCTAGTTTGTTTGGATTCAATTTTAGTACTTGTTTGCATAAGTCTTTTCCACTTATTATTATTATTGATTTGTGTTTTGTAATCAAGTAAGAAAATTGTTTATCTGTGATGGACTATGGGTTGTTTCTTTTCAACTTAGCTATGTCAATTGGATTTTTTGGGAAATTCACCCATCAAGCTTAGGAATTGCTGTTCCTGTGTAGCTGAATGGATGTTAGAATAAACCTCTTCATCTCATTTCCAAAACTTTGCTCATCAATCTCAGCAATCTGAATTTCCTTTGCGGTTGACTTCAATTTGTTAAACCAGGTCAGTCAGACAAGGACAATCCACCAAAATGAATTGTTCATTACCAAGAAAACCATCATACTACACAGTCTGCATATAATGTTCTTTCGCCAACTTTGTCTTGCTAATTTCAGTTAAAAGTGGTTGCTCCAAGAAACAAGTTGTCTTTTTTACTTTGCTTACACAAAGAAAAATGATACCTAGGATTTCGGATGGGTGACGGGAGTAACTAGGCCAAGCCCAACCTAATGTAATGTTCCAGACTTGCAGCTCATCACTGTTCTTTCTTTGATTTTTTTTTTTTTTTTTCCCCTTTATTAGTAAGAAACTTACACTCTCATTTATCCTCGATTTAATGATTTTAACTCGAATTAATATATTACATGAGTTGTACTTTCGATGCAAGTGTGTTGTACAAGTGTTACTTCATATAACATTGTTGCATATGTGTTGTATTCGCGATGTAATGTGTTGCATTGTCAATTTAAAGTGTACCGAATAATACTGAATCATAGAATTTTCAGGTCAATGTAAAAAGACATTGGAGTAGGATTTTGCCGTGACACACTCACCGCCAAAATTAGTGTTTTCCACTTATTATTATTATTATTAATTTGTGTTTTGTAATCAAGTAAGAAAATTGTTTTTCTGTGATTGACTATGGGTTTGTTTCTTTTCAACTTAGCTATGTCAATTGGATTTTTTGGGAAATTCACCATCAAGTTTAAGAATTTTTCCTGTCTAGCTGACTAGATGTTAGAATAAACCTCTCTTCATCTCATTTCCAAAACTTTGCTCATCAATCTCAGCAATTTTGAATTTCCTTTACGGTTGACTTCAATTTGTTAACCCAGGTCAATCAGACAAGGACAATCCACCAAAATGAATTGTTTATTACCAAGAAAACCATCATACTACAAGTCTACATAGTCTGCATATGATGTTCTTTCGCCAACTTTGTCTTTTTTACTTCGCTTACACAAAGAAAAATGATACCACCTCTAAATTCCAAGGATTCGGATGCAGATGCGTGAATGGGTGGCGTGGACCCCACGCCCCCACTCACTCGGGGCGCAAATTCTCTGTTGTGAGTTTTTTTTATTCAGTCTTCTCTTGTGAGTTTTAAGTGGCCTATATTTTGCCACATCATTCTTCATTTAATAACTCTTAAGGCAGCATTTGAGTGGAATTGAGACAACGTTTAGATCCTTCTTCACCACCATTTATAAGTATCTTCACACACAAAATAAGTTATGCACATAATACAGACTAAGTAATGTCTCAATTCAACATATTGTGTTTGGCAATTACACCACCATTTATAGGTAACATTTCACCACCATTTATAAGTATCTTCACCTTTAAATTAAGGTATGCACATACATGATCATGTTACTTTTTAGATCCTATGATGTTACTTATAAATGGTGATGAAATATTACTTATAAATTACGGTGTATCTTTACTCTTAAATTAAGGTATGCACATAAATGGTGATGTTACTTTTAGACTCCTGTGATGTTTCTTTTTAGATCATGTAATGTTACTTATAAATGGTAGTGAAATGTTACTTATAAATAATGGTGTAATTGTCAAACGCGGACTTAGTGTCTGTTTTATGAAGAAATACGTGGCCAAACCAATGCCACAAGACAATGGACAGCAAAGGACTGCAGGAATAATTATAGCAGGTGATTCGCTCCCACTCACAATCCACTCAATGGGTATCTCCGAATTTGGATGATGTAGCATTGCTCTAATACAAAAATACCATAATTTTTATAAACCATTTGTTTGGACATAAATTATTTTTTATTTTTCAATGTTACCCATAATTAATTCTCTCTTTCTTTCTTCAGTGTTCCTCGCTAACTGGAAATAGTATCCTTATCTACCTTAAACCCTCCCTCTCTTTCTCCTTCTCGTTACTTTCTCTCACCACTCTCTCTTTACACCAGAACATGTTCTCGACCCAAATCTATTCCTCGAACAACCCAAATTTGTGTCCCTCTTTCTCTTTCATCTCTTTCTCTGTCCTCTCACTCTATGTAGAATTTTAGAATTTTAGATTGGGAGGACTAAAATAGATAGTTGTTAGAACATAGAGGTTCAAAAAGAATACACATGATTAGATGACCCAAGGTAACCTGTGAAAAATGATTTACACAAACTTTTTTGGTAAATCATTTTCAATCATTTGGGGCAAAATGATTTATATGGAAAATAATTTCTTACCCTTGAAGTCTACAAAACACCCAAAAAAATGAGGAAAATAATTTCCAAAAAAATATGTTACGATAAACCAAACATAGCCTAAATATGGACGGAAATGACTTAAACCTAATAATCTATAAAACCGATGTTTTAAAATATAATGTCAGACTATTTATTTTTGTAATGAATGGACCAACAATGTAGATCAAGCTCCCATCTAAATTGCTATTCGGTTTAATTACTTAATAGGACTTTTTGGTAACTCCAATGTAGTTAATAGGAGGACCTCATTTCAATTTTGCTTCGTGCTCTTTCTTTTAACATAGCAAGAAAGGTATCAAACCAAAAGTTGTTCTCAAAAAGCATAAATGTAGAGCCTTCATGGATCTTACTATAGTTACTGCAATTTCATGGCAATTCAAGATGTTAAAAGGTGAAGATTAGCGAAAGATTTAACATTTGTCTTTATCTTGGACAAAGTGATTAATCTAATCAGATGCTCGATTTATACTTGTCAACTCAAGCTTTTATCGAGACAGGCAAGACGTACAAATCTACTTGTTAGGACTAGTTGGGATTTAAAGACTCAACCTACTTTTTTGGACTAATTGGGCTTCCATTCTGTTGGTTCTTGGTTTGGAATTTGTCTGTTGCAAGTTATATATATATATATGTATATGTATGTATCATTTAAGCAACTTACTTGTTGTTTATTATCTGCAAAAGCAATCAAATACATCAACTAACATCCTTCAAACAAGTCTATGCATCATTTAAATGTCAATCCATGTGCCATAATAAATCTCCTTCTTTAAAGAACTACTTTAATTTATTACTTTCGGTGTCGAAATTTAATAAGACAGAGAGTGAACATGTTGAGATGCTCTTTCATGTTGCTTTTGCAAGTCTCGAAGCAGTCATAGTTGGTTCAATGTAGTTAAAAGAAGGGAGCGTTTGGAGTATTTATCACTCTCGTGATTTCTATTCATTTTCCTGCTTTTTGCCCATATTGAGTTTCTTTGAGATCCAGCATTATTATTGCTTTAGTTCTACTTTTCTCAACTTCTCCATTCATATAACCAGAGAGGCACAGAGAGAGAAAGATAGACACAGTGCTTTGTCCGCGAAGAAATTGTCTAGTCATTTGAACAATAAATATAAAGATCTGTTAGTATGATTCTTGATTCTGAAACATATACAAATGACAATCTGGAAGGAAAACAAATTCGTAATGACTTATCGTGTAAAAATGAGAAAGAAAGAAAGAAAGAAAGCTCAGACCAGTGGAGAACAAGCACATTTGTTAACCTGGCCTGGTATATATAATATTCCACAAGCATAAAACACAAAGAAAAAGAAAAAAGAAAAAGAAAAGGAAAAAGAATCCATCCTTCAACCCATGTTCCATGGAATAAAAGTTTGAAGACGATCCTCCTCACAAGCAAAGAACTCATTCACGTGTGCTCGAATGAATCAGTGAACTGGCACAACATCAAGTATTGGAGCTTGACATATCGGACATTTTCCGCTACTCCATTGCAACTCATGGGCACACTTGAGACAGGTGCACATGTGCCCACATCTGAAAGGAATGTGAAAAGATACTTGACAGGATGAGTACTACTTACTGGTGCTGAAATTCGGAAATCAATTCAAATTTGCAAAGTAAATAAAACTTGGCTTCAAAAGCAAGTACCTGTACAAAACAGAATCAACTTGCATTTTGTGGCAAACACGGCAACTTCCTTTTCCTGGAGGCCCATTGATCGTCTCCATCTCCCCTCGAACTGTAGACATAAAGGGAAGGTTCTTTCATTGATGAGGTAAGAAAAAGGAAAACCAGTTTAATAGATAAGCAGAGCATATGAAGCAGCTTGAAAACAATTACGCTGCATCTAGAAACTACTCAAGTTTAATCAAATGCTTTCTTGCATTCGTTTTAGAGTATTAAATCTGAGTATTCTTGAAGACCCTAGTGTAATCGAGTGCCATGTAAATATGTGATATTGGGCCTATCTTGTGATATTGTTACTAGTTCAGCACACTAGACAAACCCTATTATACAAGAGATGGACACAACATGACAAAGGCCTGATACAACAAATCCTAAAAAACATAGGACGTGGACACGGTGAGGAAACAAGATGCTGTAAATTTATATTAAAAAAACTAAAACAAAATTGCTTGCTGCCGCAATAATATAAGGAAATGAGCTCATCTTCTCTTAAACTCACCCGAGGGACTTGCAGCAGTTGTAGCCTCCTGCTTCATGAACCGCTGCATCTTCACCTGCATGCTCATGCAGCTCTTTATTGATCTTCGCAGCTCATATATCTCATGATGGAGTTGCTCCAGTTGTCCTCTCAAATCGTATATGAGTTCCATTTCCTGTCAGACGCACAGAATTATTGACCAGGAACTAAAAAACACATACTAAACCACAAATGAAAGAAAAGAAAAAAGAGAAAAGAACTCACAAATGAAGGATGGTAGAAAGATTGAGCAGATGAAGGTTGTGGCAAGGAAGGAGATATCACTTGATCAGAATAATCACTGACTTCATGATCACGATTACATGCCCTCTTTACAGTTTGTAAACGTGATTGAATTGGTGATGTAGCTTGATCAAAATACTCACAAACTTCGTCATATTGATGCCCAAATGGACTCTCTTCTTCTTCTTCCTCTTCTTCCTCCTCCTCCTCCTCTTCTTGTTCTTCATTGTCCTCCTCTTCTTGTTCATCTTCTTGCTGACTCCCCATTGGATGTGTCTGCCTTTGTAAATAAGACTTCTGCAAATCCTCTTCTTGTTCTTCTTCCTGATTGCTAATTGGATGTGGTGGTTGTTGTACACGAGATATCATCAATTGGTCCATTGTATCTCGTAAATTACTAGAAAGAAAAGACGACACACTTTTCCTGCACACACAAATTAGAAAGTCAACTTACTCCTAACCACACCCCCTGGGCTTGCAATTTATTATAAAAAATTGAATGTCGCAGGGATAAGGAAATATGGTTTTATTATGCCTAATAAGATCAGCAAAAGGTTATTTATTTATGGATTACTACTTCAGTATTCACAATAATCAAATCATTCATGTCATCATTTAACTCAGCTTCACATTCGGAGCTATTCATTCCTTCATTTTTCTTACTACTAAAAAGATGGGGAAAGTGTTGATCCGAACTTGATATAATAATCATTATTGCATAAAACAATGATGGCTGTTCATCCATTTTATGTGTCTCAACTATGGTCAATAATTCAAACCCACAAATCATTATCCATCCAGATTTTGGAATTTCTTCCCCATTCCATAATTTCACAGCAAAAACGTACTCCTCAGCCATGTATACAGTTACACAAACAAACACATACAGAGGAACATTTAATATTTGTGATTCTTCAACAAAAGATGTTGCACGTTTTTGGAGCTTATATATATTATCAGGAGAATGGAAAAGAGGAAATAGAGAAGAAACAGAACTATGAGTAAATCAGAGCAAAAGTTATTATACCTGTTGAGTAGTTGCCGTATGTCTTCATTGTTCGAGTAAGGATCTAGCATCTCCTCATACCTAGCTTGCCTGAGACCTTCCCAATCACTTCGTGGGCGGGAAATATCAGTAATCCAGTCACAATTAGTTTCTAGTAGCTGCTGGTGATCGGCATCTTCATTTTCCCAATCGTTCCATGTGCGAGAAATATCACTTATCCAGTCACAATTAGTTTCTACCAGCTGTTGGTGATTGGCCTCTTGTTTTCCCCAATTGTCCTCTTGCCATGAATCACCACCTATCCAGTTATGATTGCTGCCTACTTGCTGATGCTTAATGGCCTCTTGTTCTTCCCAATTACTTTGTTGAAAATTCTCTCTTACCCAGTCATGGTCAGTTCCCACTAGTTTCTGGTTATTGGCCTCTTGTTCTTCCCAATTTACATTGTCCTCCCAACCATTTGAGGATGTCACTGTCCCGGCAGATTCTGGCAAGTCAAGGTTGCTAACCTCATAGCTTGTCGCTGGCCATAAAGTATTTAAACATGGACTAGATTCTGCATGAAAATCTTCTATTCTGGATGATACAAAGTTCTGTACTTGGGTTGTACATTGCTTCTCAGTGTTGCTAAATTCCTGATGATGAATGTCTTCTCCGAGTAATTGATTGGAGGTAGAGGAATTTTCTACTTTAAGTACAAAGCTCTGTACTCGGGATGTACTCTGCTTCTCGGTCTTTTTAAATTCTTGATGATGAATGTCTTCTTTAACTAATTGATTGGAGGTAGAAGAATTTTCTACCTTTAGAACAAAGATCTGTACTTGGGATGTATTCTGCCTCCCAGTGTTAACTTCCTTATGATGGATGTTTTCTCCAAGTAATTGATTGGAGGTAGAAGAATTTTCCTCCTTTAGTGTGTTTTCTCCAAGTAATTGATTGGAGGTAGAAGAATTTTCCTCCTTTAGTGTGTTACTTACCACCTCTCCATGCCGGGTTCTCAAATTAGCAGCACCATGCTCAACTCCTGTGTTGCTTACCACCTCCGCACGTGCTGCATCATGCTGAAGTAATTGATTAGAGGTAGAGAAATTTTCCTCTTTTAGTGTGTTATTTACCACCTCTCCATGAGGGTTTCTCAAATTAGCAGCACCATGCTCAACTCCTGTGTTGTTTACCACCTCTGCACGGGGGGTTCTCAATTTAGCTGCATCATGCTCAAGTAATTGATTAGACGTAGAGGAATTTTCCTCTTTTAGCGTGTTATTTACCACCTCTCCTCGAGGGCTTCTCAAATTAGCAGTGCCATGCTCAACTCCTGTGTTGTTTACCTTTACCACCTCTGCACGGGGGGTTCTCAAATTAGCTGCATCATGCTCAACTAATTGATTGGAGGGAGAAGAATTTTCCTCTTTTAGTGTGTTATTTACCACCTCTCCTCGAGGGCTTCTCAAATTAGCAGTGCCATGCTCAATTCCTGTGTTGTTTACCACCTCTGCATGAGGACTTCTCAAATTAGCTGCATCATGCTCAACTCCTGTGTTGAATCTCTCCCTGAAATTAATTGTGATTTCATGTTAATGGAAAACTTTGAAACTAGATTGAGGTTGAGCCCTATTTAATAGGAGAAAGAGTTCAGTTATGTATCGGCTTTAACATATCCAGACATTCAAACTGTCAATTGAACAATGACTAGTCCAAATAATTAAACTAAACCGATCATCTTGAACAAAGATTCATGTTAAAAATAATCTAAATCAAGTTTGTATGACAAGCTACCCCATTCATCCACACACGAGAGATCCCATGCTTGCTTGAAGCCTTACTAATTTTATCCAATTTATGATTTTTAAATTCGTGATGTTCTACTATAAATTCCCAAGACCAAACAATTTTTGTATCCACTACATTTCTCATGAAGATGGATGACTTATTCAAGCTAACATTGATATGTTTGATGATTACACTGTGTCACTTATAGTGGGCAATTTCCTGTAAAAGAGAATTGATGTAGAATATCACCCTAATGGTAAAGTCAGTCCACCTCCTACAAACATTAATCAGTTCACAAGTATTATCAGTAACCTCATGATGGCCGTTTCACTTTAAAATCTTATCAATAGGTATTACTCATTTGAGTTTATATGATGAGCATCAAATAACAGTAATAATTAAAAGAACATCATTACCCAACCAATCTACGATTTAAAGCAAACTATTAAAAATGACACCCCAGAGACACTTTGATACTATTGATCAAAAGATATCAATACATGAGCTCGTGCACGGATTTGCACACAGAAACACCACATGCAGACCCTACAGGCACATGAAACTAGCTTAACACATTGCATTATAGAGGTTTAAATGGGCATATCCTCAATAAAAGATTGCAATATAAGTAGCCTACTTCTTATTCAGATTTCCATGTACCACATGAAACAAAATAATTCATCAATTTTCTCATTTCCATAGATAAATCTACTCGATAATCAGGACCTCTCTTAAACAACTCTGTTGCAAATAATTTCCATCAAGGATGTACAATAATCAAATGGAACGAATGATTTCATGATGGTCCATATTTAGATCAAGGTCTCATGGATGGTCCCTCAAAAATGGAATTGGCAAAAGGCTTTTTACCTGAGAAGAGTGATGTTAGATCCTTGAGTAAGTAGTCTATTTGAATCAGACCCCAATGATTTCAAATGCCTGTGATTTCCAACCGTTGCTTCACGTAAGAATCTAAGCCGAAGCATTGCCTGCATGAAAACCATGACACACAAATAAGTATTAGTGTCTATATGGTAACAAGTAATTATTTCCTTCATAAACTGTCTGTTAATCAACTGGAACTGAAACATAACCTGAAGGCGGCCTTTTTGAGAGAACTTTGATACTGCCCGACGCTCTACCAGCCCTTCGAGCTCCTTGTGCCTATCGCCCTCCATCTGAACAAGTAGATCATTCAATGCCTGGCGTCCTCTGATCCGGGGTGATAATGCAACCGGCAAGAAACCCTTCTGTTGTTCTAGTTGGTCCAATAAAGCACACTCATGAGACAATGCTGCATTCAGAAGAGGCTGCTCGCGGTCATGATCATCATATGCAGAATTTAAAGAACTCCGAGTGCTGTTGGGGGTTGATGACAGCTTCTTAATAATATCAGACACTTTGAGCCTCTCCCTTTCCCTCTCTCTCTCCCTCTCCTTTTCCTTCTCCTTCTCCCTCTCTCCAGCATCCGAATCCCGCGCACGCGCAGAAGGTGGACAGCTCGGGGTGTTTCCACCGGACTCCCAATCCCGGAAAGAGTCCTCCAACGACATCATTGTCGTAGGAGTACCAAACCTTTCATCCACAGAATCACCATCTTCAGAACGTCTTGCCGGCTCGTCAATAACACAAACAGTTTCTATGTGGCTCGACTCAGAATTGGTCCTGCTGGGATGAACAGGAGAAGAATTCGAGCTGTCAGACTGATTTTGCTTAGCCAAGTCCCTCCATTTCTGAACAAGCGAAGAAACACCAACCATGTTTGGTATTTCCTCCCTCTCAATCTTTGATGTTCTCGATGACACCATTTCTCGAGCTCGTGCCCAATGATCAATTTTAGCTTTGTTGTCGTTGTTGTTGTCTCTCTGTTCTTCACCAACCCAAGAATCCCCATTGTCGATTTGACGATTCTGAGAACTCTCTCTCTGATTCATAGACCCTTTTGAAGACACCATTTCTCGAGCTCGAGACCAACGATCTATCTTGACTTTGTTGTTCCTCTGTTCTTTGTCAACCGAGCTAGTGTTTGTGTTGTTGATTTGGGGATTGTCAGAATTCTCGTCCGTGGATGAATCAGAGTCGTTTGGTGAAGGTGAAATGCAGGAATTGAAATGGTCTCTAACAAAGTTCTTGAGATTCTTCTGAAAAGCTACATGTGCGGCTCTGACATTGCTCTCTCTGCTGCATCGATCTCGCCGATTGTGATCTCTCAAAACACACCCGAAAGGAGAAGACGAAGCGACTTCGACTTGAGAAGACGCCATTCTCGATTCAGAGTATATTAAAAAACTAGATTCCAATGCTGTTTTCAGGAAAACTTTAGAAAGAGGAAGTGACCCATTTGGATCAAACTGAAAACTAACGAAGAACCCATTTGGGAAAAGAGAGAATAGACAGAGAAAAAAAATCAAGAATGCCACAAAAAACTGATTCATCCATCACCGACCCATATCCGCCTCTGGGGTTCTATATTTCGCTCTCTCTCTCTCTCTAAAATTGGAAAATTGCTAAAGTGATAGAGAGGAAAATGCAAGGATTGATACGAAATGAGAGGATTGAAAGCTGTTTTATGGGTTATTATACAACGTCAAGCGCTCTTTTAGGCCCAGATACGCGTTTGATTTCTAAATTTAGAACTCTTTATGAAACGCTTTCATTGATATATACACAAAAACAGATTTATATGTATCATATAAAACAATGCAAACGCTATTATTATATGGTTTGTGGTTAAAAGATTAAGAGAATGTTGTTGGTGTTGTGAGGAGAGGACGAGAGAAAATCCTTAGAGAAGACGAAAATTGATGAAGATGTGTTGATATATAAAGTTTGTTCAGTAGAGTTGTTTGTAGTTGGGTGAGAGACAGTGAGAGAAAATGAGAGAAAGAGAGAGAGGAAGAAAGAGAGACGTTTAATTTTAGCCGTTAGAATGTAGGGCCAGAAATCATTATTGTAGACTGTTACATAATTTCTAAGGTTAGCGGTAAAGCGAACCCATTAAACATTTGAGAGCGTAATTTTTTCCCTCCATATATATACTTTTTGGGCACACAGTGACACACACACACAGATACTGAGTCACTGACACACTTTCAATTCTTTACTGTGTTGGTCAATATTCTCTTGAGACTTTGATAACCTTTAAGTATTTATATATTATTTTTTTACTTGTAATTTACACTCCTATTTTTGTTTTTAATAGATGTTTTGAAGTTTCGTTTCGGTTTTAAAATTAAAAATTATTAATTTACGATTTTGGTTTCATTTCTACCCATATCACAAAATTTGTATTCTCATATATATTATATATATATATATATATATATATTAAAAAGTAAAACAATTATTTAACAATATTATTAAAATTACCGTGCTTCGTAATTTAATTGAATTTTTTTTTAGGATTGGGTTCCATTCTTAACGGTTCCGATTTTAATTTTAAATTTTTAAAAACAGTTAAAAATTATTCAATTTCAATTTAACTTAGAAACCAAAAGCAGAGGACAGATTATGTTTTAGGTTGGTTAGTATGTTAGAATAGATATACGAATTGTATAACATAGAAATGTATGCATTTATTGCGCAATAATTATATAGTTGACAAAAAGAACTAAAGTAGCTTTACTAAATTCAAAATTGACAGTAGCTTACAAAATTCATAAATGGCTTCAACGTTAATTTGTGTATATTTCCAATATATTACATTTTAAGAAGGATAATTAAGCTTTTATTTAATTTTAATTTTTTTTTTCTTTTTGCAATGCTATTGTCAAGAAACTCACATATTTAATTTGTTACTACGGGAAGTTAAACATTCAACCATTTACTTTAAAATTTTGAAAAATACTATTAATTTTTAGACCTTTGTGATAAACAAAAAAATTCATTGATTAAGCAAAATTTTAAACACTTTTTTGTCCAACTAAAAAAAGAAATGAAATACTCTAATAGTATATTTGGAGATATCAAATCGGCACCTTAGATTTGAAATTGAAGAAATTTATTTAAACTAAATTTTTTTCAATTCCAATTCTAATGCATGTTGCTACCAAACTCTAGTGCTATATTTGGAGGCATCAAATCGGCACTTTAGATTTGGGATTGAAGAAAATTTAGGACAAAATTTGAACTACATTTTCTCCGATTCCAATTCACCAAATATAACATAAGGCACTTAATAAATTAATAACTCTTTAACATATATATATATATATATATATATATGTATAGGAAAGGATGGAAAAAACCCCTATGATATACATATGAAGTGTATAACTCTTTATACGTTTTAAAAAATTCCTAACATTCATTTTTTTTTTTAAGTAAATAATGATCTGAATGCTGAAAAGACTACATTATCCATCTGAAACTAAATAAATAATAATAATAATAATAATAATAATAATAATAATAATTAAATGTGAAATAATTAAAATGTCCCACTTAATCATTGGAATTATATTTAATTCATATCACCAATTGTTTTGTAGCAATTGTGTGAGAAAAAACACCCAATGATATGCATATAAAGTGTATAACTCTAGTCTCTTTATTTGTTCTGAAAAATTCATAACATTCATTTTTTTAAAAGTAAACAATGACCTGAATGCTGAAAAGATTACACTATCCGTCTAAAACTAAATAATAATAATAATAAAATAATAATAATTAAATGTGAAATAATTAAAATGTCCCACTTAATCAATGGAATTATATTTAATCCATATCACCAACTGTTTTGTAGCAATTGTGTGAGTTAAGGAATGGGAAGTTGACTAGACAATGGAGGAGCTTTCAAGTAGTTGTTAGGGAATTTTCACTAATATTATACGTAGTAAAAACATTAAGAACATAATACATTAAATTTTATTAATATCGATAATATTACATGGGACAACAACATAAGAAACACATCAACAAGAAACAGTTTGATAGAATGATATATAAAAAAAATGGCAATAATAAAAAGATACTATATTAAAATTGTATGCTTCATATATTATTGTCTCGATATAGCTCTAAAATATCACACATATTTGTCGATCGGACATATCTAGAAAAAAAAAATATGTACCGATCTTGTGTCAAAGTTGCCCCCAAATGTAAGTTTTAACAAAAAATGCATATCTGCATTGATTTGAAATAATTATATGTGAAATCACATTGGTTTTATTTTACACAAGAAATATAATAAAATATTTCACTCATACCTCTAATACTATATTGGGTTTAGACAAATTAGACACGTTCAACATTTGCTACTTTAATATCTCTGGAGATTTAGAGCGAATGCTTGATAACACTTTATCGTTTTCTTTACGACAGATAAATTTTATAAAATGACAACTAGTCTATTAATGTAATTTACTGAAAAAAAAAAAAAGAAAAAAGAAAAAAGAAGCTAATATGCCAAAAGCCCAATAGTTAGCTTTTAAATAAATCAAAAGCCCACAATAAAAGAATCATTTATTTACAGTATAAATCCAATGGTCCAAGCCCAAATGACCCACAACCGAAAAAAAGCATTCGAACTCACTTAATGACCCAATAACGCGTGCCATGAAAAATGGAGAAAGAGACACAGTGTACGGTTACCCTATAACCCAACATGACTCAGATATGAACTTGTATGAATTTCACAAGTCACAACCGATCAAACCTAGAGAGAGAGAGAGAGGGGGGAGAGAGAGTGAGGATGCCGGCGACTGCGGTGACGATCGGAGCTCTGCTAGGATTGGGTACTCAGATGTACTCCAATGCCCTTCGCAAACTTCCTTACATGAGGCGTAATGTTCTTCACCCTTGAATATAATACGTGGCAAATGAATCGAAATGATTTTGCTCCAATTTTGAATTTCATTTTCAATTGAATTTCCACTTCGATTAAGTTTATACACGCTTATATATATATATATATATATATATGTATGTAAAATTTGCTTTGAAATGTTCAGATCCGTGGGAGCATGTGTTGGGGATGGGATTGGGAGCATTGTTCGTGAACCAATTGGTGAAATGGGATGGTAAGCTTCAGGAGGACCTGGACAAGATGCTCGAGAAAGCTAAGGCCGCCAACGAGCGCCGTTACTTCGGTTTGTCTCTCTCACTGATAAGTAGCAAGCTTTATATGTTTTGGGGATTTTTGTTGTCTTCATAATTTCTTTATGCATGGATGCATTTCTTCAGGTGTAAATTATTTGAAGTATCAAATTACTAGTACATAAAAAAGTGATTAAAGCATTTTATTTTATTTTTTGATAAGTAATTAAAGCATTTTATTTTACACTTGAATTTTGGCTATATATTGCATCCCATTATTCCATGCGTGCTCTTCGATAAAAATATGAATTTTTTGAGTGGGATGTGAAGAATATTGTTGATTTATCAAAGCTTGTTTTGTAATGTAGCACCTCTGAAATTGTGTTTCTTAGCTTGTGTAATGTTACTATAGGTTATTTAGGGCATTACCTGGTAGGAATTTTTGCTTGAGAGAGAAAATCAACGAGATAGGGGGAGCAAGTAGCTGAACTTTTATCCCCACAATGCTGTATTTAAATTTCTTACTTTAGGGGAAACAAGTCTATAAAACACACCTTCAACGTAAAAAGTTTTAAATACTTATAGAGTTTAGAATTGCTAGTTGGTATTGAGCACTTATTTGAGTATGGGGAGATGGAGGGAAACTTTGGTGCACCTTTTATTGTTCTGGTATCGAGAAAGGAGGTGTATCTGACATTAAGGACTTTAGGGCAATCTGTTTAGTGGAGAGCTTGTGTAAATTGTTCACTAAGGTCTTGGCCATTTTTTTTTTTTTTTGGGGGGGGGGGGGGGGGGTTGGGGGAGGAATGAGGGGGCACCACCAAGAGAGATCAATATCGGCCCCGAGTCCCTTATGTTGTTGAAGTCAATTCAGCTGAAATGCGATTTCAGATTTTTCCGGGTTGAAAAGTGGAATTTTGGAAGTTAGACTATTGTTGTGATAACACACTAAGGGTGCTTGTTTGGATGATACATTGATTATGGGATTGAGTGATTCTACTTTGTGTGCCATCTAACGTACCGAGTGATGTGGGTGAATATACTTTGTTCTGTTGTTCCTGTTTTGTTTCTGCTTGAACTTAAGGTTTTTATCTTAACATTCCACAACATTTGCTGATAATGGATGTATTGTTTACAAATGCGTGTTTGTTTTGTTTCAATTGACATGTGGCCGGAGATATATATTTTTTATTTTAATTTCTTAAGTTTAACTGGTATATTGAATTCTGCAGCACCCTTGCATATGGTGCAACATAAGTTGGTTAAATGAATTGATGAATCAAGGTTCTAATTGAGGTAAAGACACTGACTGACCACCTCAATGAAAAAGATGCACCAATCCCTCTGGCCTTACCTTATGACCTTGGCCAACTTGCTTCATCCCTCTTTCATCCCCTCACAAAAGAAACTCACTCATCGTCATTCTGAGGAAGAGCCCCTCCCCTTTGAATGCTACAGGGGTCTTCTTCATTTACTTTGTCACCTGAAAACAACCGTTCTCCTCATTTATCACTCAACCTTCTTTCTCTTTCTTTTCAAGATCTTTTGCAAGTGAATTGATCTGTTTTTCTGGCTTCTGGCCTACTCAAATATGGCAGGAAGTTAAAAAAAACTCCTTCCCTGCTATAGGTAGGGATGGCCAGATTCTCTCTCTTAAGGATACTAGCATACTCCTTCCAAGCGTCAGTTAGATCTCTAGACCGCATGGAAAATACCGGCCTGATCATAGCCATACGGACGAGCTAGTCTATGGTGGCTATAGCTATGAAGGCAAGGCCTTCCTTGAAACCGAAAAAATTAAGAGCTTTTTCAATAGTTAAGAAAATGTTCATAAGTTTGATATTAAGAAAGCTTAGGTCATTCCTATTGGGGATTACTTGTCGTACATGCTAGAGGAGGAGTTCATTGATATATGAAGGAGATGTGTCCAAATTTTTTATCTTGGTGCATGGCTCTTCCGAGGGTTCATTCCTTAGTTTGAGAGGTTTAATGCAGTGCTTCTCATATCCTTCTTGTTGTTAGTTTTGGTGATAGTGGTTCTTGGTATACTCTTGAGCTGGGGGTTAATTAGTGGCATGGAGGGGGGCACCGTGTTAGTCTTCACAGTCTCACTTGTTAATTATTGATGGCACAGTATATTTATTTAATTTTTATATGACTCGATTGGATTAGCTAGGCTATATATGATGTGTGCTTTTTTGGTTAAAGGCTTTCAAATTTTTTTTTTTGGTGTTGGTTTGGGGGGGGGGGGGGGGGGGGGGGGGGGGGTGTTTGGTTGGGGAAATATGTACATATACACTTCAGTGAAGAATGAGGGCCCTGGCACAAAAAAGGTTGGGCTCTTCAATCTGGCTTTGTTGGGTTAATTTGTGTTGATATTGGCATAGAGTGGCGACGCATAAGTACTTGGTGTCTTGGGGAGGGTGGGTGTCTATATAAGTGGTTATCTATTAAGGCATGGGTCCTTAGAAGAGCATTATGAAGGCGAGGGAGGGAATTCTGGTAATGCGTTTGTTTTGTGGTGGGGAATGGTACCAATGTCGTATTTTGACAAGATGTATGGTGTGCGGACAAGCCTTCTGAATATATATTCCTAGCCTCTAAGGGATAACATGAATTAAGGGTTGTGGTTGTAGAGTTTTCTTCCTTCTTGTAGGGGGGTGGGGGTTTGGTGGTGGTGGTGGTGTGGCTGTGCGCGGCCCGGGGGGGGTGGGGTGGGGTCCCCTGGGGGTGGCACAAAAAAGGGTGGGCTCTTCAATCTGGCTTTGTTGGGTTAATTGTGTTGATATTTGCCATTGAGAGGTGGAACTTATGGCATAGAGTGGCGACGCATAAGTACTTGGTGTCTTGGGGAGGGTGGGTGTCTATATAAGTGGATATCTATTATGGCATGGGTCCTTAGAAGAGCATTATGAAGGCGAGGGAGGGAATTCTCGTAATGTGTTTGTTTTGTGGTGGGGAATGGTGCCAATGTCGTATTTTGGCAAGATGTATGGTGTGCGGACAAGCCTTTTGAATATAGATTCCTAGACCTCTAAGGGATAACGTGAATTAAGGGTTGTGGTTATAAAGTTTTCTTCCTTCTTGAAGAACGAATAATTTGGAGCCCCACTGCGCCAAGTAAACTGGGAACTACCACAGTCTCCACCACCTATAATTCATAATTGTTACAATTGTTGAACTTATCCTCTTTTCCACTAGGTTCTTCATGTGAGAAACACGATCTTTAAGCTGAGAATCTCTGAGGACCCTCCATGATAGGGTTTCAGGCAAAAGTTCATATTGTTTACTCCAATAAATAGGTTGTCCTTCTCATGTTCAATTCCAAGTAGAACTGGCCTTTTTTTGGCTCAATAAAAACAATCACAGTGTCTACAAGTATTATACAAGCTATATTTTATGTTTGAAAAAAGAAAGAAAAATCACTGCATAAGATCGGCCTAGAAGAATTAAAAGGAGAAACCAACTATATGAGGTTTTTTGTTCTTTTTTAATTCCCCTGGGAAATGGATAACAACTCTCATTTGATGGAGATTTGGTACCTGCAAATTGAGTGTTAATGGTCTTAAGAAGACTTGGAAGGGTGTGTTACTGTGTTTGGTATGATACACAAGTTCCATGAGTATATATTTATTTTATTGATTGTTCTAACTTTAGTAATTAACCCTTATTGATCTTTTGTTGTAACAAGTTTGCACCAAAGGACGGGCTCCTTTTCAGAAATTGGCTCTGAAATTAGTTGCAAGGCATATTTGCTCATTTCAATTTCATAGAGTCTATAGATGACACGCGAGGCACTTCTCAGTGTTTGGGGTTCCTTATTTTTTTGAGTTTTTCCGCTGAATTGTGGTCTACGGCTTCTTTCATTTTCCATTTACTGTTAGAAGTTTCAGCTGAGGCATTTTGGAAATTCTATAATTAGGAAGTTTTTAATGGGTACACAACTATACAATAGGATTTAATTCTACAAGTACAGCATGTTGGTTGTTGAAAGGGAGAGGAAACAAAATACATTAAGATTGCTAAAATTAGCTTATATTTGTTACCAACAAGTGCTCACTTTCAATCATAGTTTGGTGCCTAAATGGAGACCCAATGAGATAAAACCTTATAGTTTGAAGTCTTATTAAATTCATAAGTTTGCATGAAGATGCACACCGCAAAAATTCAGTTTTTACAACAAAAAAAATTGTTGTGGTTGAATGACTTGATAGAAAGTTGCCTTTTTTTTTTTTTTTTTTTTTTGGTTTTTTCATGGGTCTCATCTTTCATAGCATTTACTCTAAGGATTCTTTGGTTCTTTCTGCACCATCTTAATGCACAATGCCATCTGTCTTACATGGCATTTGTGGTATAAGAATTGTTACAGATTGTTTGTTTTTCTGCAGTTAATATCTGTTAAGAAACCTTCCGGAAAATAAATAAATAAATAAAATAAAATCAGTCATGAAGAAATTTTTAAAATTTGATTTTACATTTCTGGACTTGTTACAAAAGTTTATCTCAGCATTATTTGAATATTTGTGTTTTTTTTACTTATTTTCTTTATTGGACTGGTACTTTTAATTGCAGATGAAGATGAATAGCGCGTAGATGGCATGGAATGAAGCATCTTACAACGTGGCATTTAATTCTATGAGAGTGTGGTCCCCAAACCAGCTCATATTATGGATTGTAGGCGCATGTTTGAATAAACTGTTGTGTCTGTTTCTAATGTTGTTAGTACTTTTTACCGCTCTGTTGGCATTTTGTTTCACAGAACTTTTTGAGATGCATTTTGTATTTATAATACAATAATGCAAGTCAATCTTAAATAATTGGAGTCCTCTGCAAATCCATTTCAAATTAATGAGACAATGTGGATGTGCAAGATTTTAAGCTTTTATCAGTTTTACTTCAGATCATACGAATATTTCTTTAATAAGTAATTATTAATAGCTCAGTAATATACTATGTTAATAATTTAGGAGGGACGCAATAAACCATTATTTTCTTAACTTAGCATTGGCAAATTTTTTGATGAATAATCTCATATTATTAATTATTGGAATTACATGTTTGCACAGAAGGATCCGAGTCCTAGAGCAGCTGCTATGTGCAAAATTTTGTGGAAGTGGAGATGTTCTGCAAGTCTTCCCTTCCAGCACCAGTTATAGGCGAGACATATATTGGGTAATGTACTTTTATATGCTTGCATTACCCACAGGATATCATATTCTCATATTGGCATGTCAAACATATCAATTGGCCCTGAAGTTGGATATGCAAGTCACATAAAGTACATGGTTAGCTCCTAAAACTAAATGTGTAAACCATAACAGGTGCTGGATGATGTGATGTGTACAGTAATTTGTAAGTTTGAGGAATATTTTCAGCAAATTGACTTCCTGGTTCACTTGCAAAAGCTACAAGGATAATTGAGGTAGAATGACTTCCCACTTCAAATGAAGTTAGGAGTATTTTAAAATTTAAACCATAAGTTGGATATTGATGTTAATATGTTTTGTTAGGGCATAAGATGCATTACTACTGAATAGACTAGAAATATGCTTAAGAAAAACTTCAGTCATTTTGTGGATTTGAACAATTATTACGAGTAATTTAAATATTTCATTGCTGCACCTATTTGGAGGTATTTGTGATTATAGAAGTTTTGGTGAATGTCAAACAAAAACTTATAAACGTGATTATAGAAGTTTTGGTGAATGTCAAACAAAAACTTATAAACTAGTAATGAGTTATTCTCTGTACAGTGTGTAATAGTAGGTTAACACAGTAAAGGGAACTTGGTCAAGTGGTGTCCTGTTATCACCTGGCATACAATATGCTTAATACTGGATAACTTGTGGCTTATCAATGTTTTAAACCCTATCAACGTAATCCTGGACTTCATGGGGGATTATTTTCTTTATGGATCTCTCTCATAGGATTAGTTAGTAGTGAAATTTGCATGTTGTTGTTGTTGTTATTATTATTTCTCTTTTTCTGGCCAAGTTCACACTCTATATTTGTGTTTTACTCTTACAAGTAACAGAGTTTTTGAGCAGCTTCATTGTATTATGCATGGGGCAGAACAGACTGTGCTACTCTTAAGGTGGTCTTCCCTATATAGCTGTTATTAGTTTATGCTTGAATATATATTTCTGGAAATTCATTTTTTTCTTCTAGCTGAGCTAAGGGCATCTACAATAAAGCACTACCTCTTTTCCTTATACACTATGTTTAGATAGTTTTTGCTGTTGGAATAGTTCCCAATTGGGTTGACTGTCACATTTGTAATACATAGTAAATTTTATGTTTATATGGTTGAGTGTCTTACTATAAGAAAGGAGACAAATTCTTCCTTCTGAATATTGGAGATATGTGATTATTTTCTTTTGTAATTTTTGTTTGCTTTTTGGTTGGTCGGTTGCTTGTTTTTATTTTTCGGTGTTTGTTTACATATAAACCCACAATTTCTGTTGAAGTCCATTGAAATGCAGTAAGTTAGCATTTTCTTGTACAGAACTCCCCCTGAACATTTCAACCAAACATTGGTACTCTAGCACTTTCTATGTAGGTGTCAAAGATGGCAGAGTGGAAATACATAACCTTCTTAGTGTTAAAGTTAGTGGAGAGAATAAGAAGGGGTTTGCATCTTTCTTAGTGTGCTTCCGGTTGCCGAGACTCCTTATGATTTCTACATGATAATAGTAGGTAGAATTCCATTAATACACCTTTTGCTGGGGAAAGAGTGGATAATCATTGAAGATCTTCCATATTTTCCATTCTATGGTTTGTTTAACGAAGAGAGAAAAGAATAAAAATAAAGTGGTTACAAGAAAATACATCTCACAATGTCTACAAAAACTATCACAAAAAATGAAGACAATGAAGTGATTTAAAGGAAAATACTACACTTAGGTTACAGTACAACTAGATTAAACAACAAAATGTTCAGCCTAATCCTTTCCATTCCTTTCTCTTCTCTCTCCAACCTAAAGGGAACCCTGGCCAAATTGAAGCAGGTGGAATCATTAGGTAGGTATTCAGCTGGAGAAAGGATTTGTGGCTTCTCCTTAAAAATTGGCATTTGTAAGCTTTAGTACTGAACTTTGGGTATCCTACTTTGTTTCAAGATTTAGCAGGAATCTGATTTTTGAACAGCTTTTGATAGTGTCTCACAACCCCTTCCCTATTTGACCCCATTGGAGCCATCAATTGGCTCATAGTGTTGCCCGGACAAATGTTAATTTCCTGTGTTGAACAACGATAGTGGGATTGATAACCCTAGGATGTTGGATTCAGTTAAAACGACAAATTATTTGATATTTCATTAACTATACATATGGGTCGTGGCTCAACTTCTCAGAAGCGCACATCCTATCGTTAAGTACATGAAGGAGGTGATCACAAACTTGCCGTGACGATGGCCTCTCTGCAGGCGCAGTTTTTGTGCACTGCAATGCTATTTCAAGAACTTGGAATGCAGCACCTTCTTCGTTGGGTAACATTGGTTTCAGTGTAGCATCTATCAGCTCCTCACGGGCAGATCCTTGCGTTTCAATACGTGTTTCAACCCACCTCACCATGTCCATATCCACACCAAATGTTCCATCAGTTGGCATTCTTCCGCTCACAAGCTCCATCAGCACAATACCCATGCTGTAAACATCACTCTTCTCTGTCGCCTTCAAAGAATAAGCGTACTCTGAAAACAGACAAATCGTTTATTAGGAACTACAAAATTTATCTATATGTATGATTCAAAATAGAAACTAGTTCCATTACCTGGAGCCATGTAACCATATGATCCAGCAAACCATGAGTTTGATTCCGTGTTTACTGAGTCGTAACCCTCAACGAGTGCTTTTGCTAGCCCAAAATCCCCCAAATGTGCTTCCATATGAGCATCAAGCAATACATTACCGGATTTGATATCCCTGTGAATGATCTTGGGGACACAGTCATGGTGGAGGTACTCCACCCCCTGTGCTAACCCTACTGCAATCCTTAATCTTGACTCCCAATTAAAGGTATTCTTTTTCTTGCTATTCACTGGTTGTCGATGCAGCCAATCCCATACACTTCCGTTCTCCATGTACTCGTAAATCAACAGATTCGAGCTTGCTCCTCTGTTGCTGCAGTACCCCACCAGCTTCACCAGATGCCTGTGCCTTATCCTCCAAAGTGTCTTAATCTCTCTTCCAAAACTCTTATCCAGCATCAGATCATCTTTCCTTGGTATCTTCTTGACTGCCACCGTTTCTCCATTGGACAACTCAGCTTTGTATACTGTTCCAGATCCTCCTGACCCAATTATGAACTCGTCACTTAGATTGTTTGTAGCTTCCATAATGTCTTCCCATCTGAAGTCTCGTTTTCTAGCAGAATTTTGGAAGAGTAGTTTCCGTTGTGCTGGGGAAGAACTGGAAGAGAATGTGGAGTTCACCTCACTGGCTCTTCCGAAGGATTCTTGCTTCTGCTTGAAAAAGAGAGCTACTCCAATGATCAGAAGAACAATTGCTGTGACAGTTGAAATCGCTGAAATTACCACAACCGATGATTGACTTAGCCCTGATTGTTGATTTCTTGATTCTGAGTCTTGGCAGTGATCAAGAGGGCTTCCACAGAGATGCAAGTTTCCTGCAAATGCCTCGGCTGGCCAGTGTGAGAATTTCTTGTCCAATTTTCCTTGAAGATTGTTGTAGGAGAGATTCAGTTTGCCCAAGCTGCTCATCTCATTGACTTGGGGAGGGACTTCCCCAATGAGTTGATTGTGAGACAGATCAAGTGCTTCAAGTTTGGACAGTGATCCAACAGTAGTCGGGATTTGACCAGTTAGATTGTTGTAACTGAGGTCTAGAATGCTTTGAAGATTCTGGAGCTGTCCAATCTCAACAGGTATTTCACCACTGAAGTTGTTTCCTGAGAGCCCAAGTTCATAAAGACTGCTTAATTTGCCAATGGCTGAAGGAATGGGTCCAAAAAATTGGTTACGATTGAGCTTGAGGACATTGAGGGATGCTAGTTTACCAATATCTGGAGGGAGAGTTCCGTTAAGTGAATTGCCATCAAGGGAAAGCACTAGAAGATTTGAGGAATTGAATAGTTCTCGTGGGAGAGGCCCAGAAAAATGGTTGGAGGACAGCTTGAGCTCACCCAACTGTGGCAAACTTCCTAGCCACAACGGGACTGGCCCCGAAAGGAAGTTATTGTTGAGATCAATGTGAGTCAGATTTCTGCACAATGAAATTGCATCTGGTATTGATCCAGTGAGTGAATTTTCAGAGAGATCCAACAGTGACAGTTTTCGGATTCTCCCCAATGTCCAGGGCATTTTCCCCGTAAATTGGTTCCTCCCCAACCTAAGCCTCTCTAGAGAAGGCGAATTCCCCAGCTGGGGAGGTACTTCATGATCAAATGCATTGTTTGTGACATCGAAAGAAAGGAAAGCACGCGAGCTACACAATGGAGCTACACTACCATTCAATCTATTATTCGAGAGATTTATTCTGGTCAGGTTTGCAACATTGGTAAGTTCAGTGGGGAGATTACCTTCAAGAGAACAGTTATAAAGCATCAGCTGCTCCAGAGCTCGGAGATACCCAAACGTCGCGGGAATGGCACCGGATAGATGATTCTCTGCCAAGTCGAGGATAGTTAGTTGATGGCAGTTACCCAAAGTGGCGGGAATTTCTCCTGACAGATCATTCTGTCTGAGATGAAGGAAATTCAGTTTCTTCAGCCTTCCAATGGTGATAGGAATGCTTCCTGTGAAATGATTGCCGAAGAAGTCCATCATCTGCAAGCTCGAGCAATTGCCAATCTGCATAGGTATCTCTCCTGAGAATTGATTGTCATATAGATACAGAATCTGAAGCTCCCCAAGCATTCCAATCTCTCTAGGAAGATTGCCTTTCAGGTTGTTCTGAAACAGTGCCAGCGTCTGCAGATTGCTGAGGTTCCCAATGTACGGCAAAATTGAACCCACCAAGGTATTGTTGTTGAGCAAGAGATCAGTTAAACCAGTTAACTTGAATAGTTCAATTGGTATTGAACCATTGATTGTATTGTTGGACAAATCAAGTTGTTTCAGTGACTGGCAGTCTCCCAATTCAGCTGGAATTTCACCCGAAATTCGATTTTCGGAGAGAATCAAGTGTTCCAACTTTGTAGTGTTTGAACATATATTTCTCGGTATGACACCAGAAAGATCGTTGCTTGACAGTACCAAGTAAACCAGCTGACCCATGTTGCCCAAGTCCTCTGGAACTTCACCAGTGAGCTTGTTTGCTGATAAGTCCAGATTCTGAAGATTAGTCAACTTAGCCAGGGACTTTGGAATTGTACCTTCAAGCTGATTCCCCAGAAAGTTCAGATAAACGAGTTGGGTCAAGTCACCGAGTTGGCTCGGAATCTCCCCCGACAGAGTATTGTTGGCAAGGTTGAGAAGTTGGAGATTCTGAAGGCGACCCAATTCTGCTGGGATTGTTCCATTGAGATTGTTGACTGCAACGGTGAACGTACTGAGTCTAGAACAGTTCCCCATCTCTGCCGGAATTGGACCCTCCAGCTGATTTTGCTGCAGAATCAAATTCTCAACTCGGCTGAGTCGCCCGAGTTCTGGAGGAATGTGACCAGTGAGACTGCATGAGGCTAGACCAAGAGCAACCAAATTGACAAGATTACCAAATGAGGCAGGAATTGTACCCGTGAGCCCATTGTCGCCCATTCGGAGAACTTGGAGGTTTGTGAGTGAACCGAGTTGACTTGGAATGGGACCGGAGAGTTGGTTGGAAAACAGAAGCAAAGATACCATAGAAGAAAGGTTAGACAGAGTTGGTGGAATGGGACCAGATAGTTGATTAGAAGAAAGATCAAGGTGGAGCAGGTCATGTAAGTTGCCAAGTGAGGGAGAGATTGATCCGGTGAGTGATGAGTCGGAAAGGTTGAGACCCACCAGTCGGACTGAGCCATCAACCGAGTTTGTCACGCATGAAACACCTCTCCAAGTGCAGAAATTTGGGTTGAGCTCAGACCAATCTTCCAATACATTTTGTGGGTCATAAACAAATGATTGTTTTACCTTCAGAAGAACTTTGATTGTTGAGGATGAGTCTGAGTCCTTACAATTGACACACCCACACGAAAAACCAATCAAGAGAACAACGATCAGTGAGAGAAGTGGATTAAGCTTGACCATTTTTGCTGCAATGAAGCTCTCAACAATGAAGCTTTGAAGAAAGTGGTTGAGACTCAGGAATATGAAAAGGTTTGACCCTTCGGCTCTTCTTTATCTTCTTCTTCTTTTGAGGGAATTAGAAGACAAATTGATGCTTTTTGTGGTGACGGTGTTGGGAGGTGGGTGGTTCTTGGCCTTGGATGGCGAGAAGACGCGTGGTTCAGAACCAGTGCATGCAAAGTATGGTTTCTTGATCAACGGTGGCTTTGATTAATTGATGTTTGGGTTTGAAAATTTTGGAATCTGCAGTGCTTTTAATGTGCCTTAAAATGGGTGATAATAACTGAGAGCAGCTACTCTTGTCGGAGTATCACGGCAAATGCCTTAAATGTCCACCGAACGACTACTGCTCCATTGTATGTGTTTGTGTGTGTGTGTGTGTGAGAGAGAGAGAGAGAGAGAGAGAGAGAGAATTTAATACAGGCAAGGGATATGTAGTAGGAGGAAGAGTGAATGCAAGACAAAAAGTCAACAGGAGGTAGAGAAGGACCATGAAAAACAAATCAACAAGTCCAATAAATTGGAATGATAAATAGGAGATTGGACTTTAATTTACAGAAAAAGACTGTGTGTGTGTGTGTGTGTGAAGATACGGTGGTTGAATGAGTGTGAAGGGGTTGATCGTTGTGGGTTTGCTGCTTCTGGTGTTTTAGCTCAGGCTGACTTAACCCTCATTGAGAAAGTGATTGGTTGAATTCCTAATTTTAGCTCTTTAAACACTTTTGATGAGGAGATTGTACTTGAAGCTTTTTTACAAAGTCAGTAAGGTCCCTACTCACTCCCTATGTAATGTAACAAACTTCCTACTCACCATCTATGATTTTACGTGTGTACTTACATATTACATATATTCTTTTGATTATTAGTTTAGTGATGTACCAAATCCTGATGTCCTTTTGTGGCCTCTCTATTGTTTAAGTGGTGGCGTTTCACTTTTGGCTACTTCAAAACCCAAAATACCCTGCTTTTCTGCCTTGGCACTCATTATTTATTCATGCTTATTCTTCTACTTCTTTTAGTTGGTAAGGCACTCACACATTCGAGTTGTCCTAATTGAATTAAAATGATCTTCTTTTTGAGAAGAGCTATGATACACATGCCGACACTGATATCCCGACTCTCCAACTTACGTGGGTACCACCAAATGGGAGGTGTTGGTGTCATCGTAATGTGGTGGGACCCACAATATAATGTTGTATATAGAGTTTTACTTTCGAGCTAAAACTTTGATGGTAAATTCAACATAATTTAGCAATTATATTTTCTCATTGATAATTTCCAAACCCTAATTGATCTCTATTTTGAGAAGTGGAAAAGAGAGTAGCTCAAGCTAAAACTTTGGTAGTCATACTCTTATCGTTGTTCTTTTCATCTGGCACTTGGAGAACTACATTTTCTTACCGATGATTTCTAGACCCTAATAATTTGATCAAATATGCCTCGACATCAATCCTCAATTAGAATTTGATGTTATTACGAGAGTCAAATTCACCTATTTTTTATTTTATTTTTGATAAGTTAGTCAAATCCACCTATTTTTTTATGAAGACTTTTTAGATTCTTATTGTCTTGACATCTCCATTTTGAAAAAAATTCAATTTTATATTATAATCACTTATTGTCGGTTTAGATGGCATTCTATATTCGAGTGGTTGGATTTTAACTCGTCCTTCAGAATGCATGGTTGGAATGGATGGAATACAAATATTTTTTGTGTGATTTAGGAAAAATTATATTCTTTTTTATGATTGGAATGGTGATGAAGACATCTCTCACTAAAATAATAATAGATGGCTCAAAAGTCAATCAAAACAAAATTATATATTTAAATATAGTAATATTAATTCACTAATTATAAGCTACCAAGAGGATCATTTAATGGAATAGCTTAGGGGCAAACAATGTATTATAAAAAAAAAAAAAGGCACTTAGGCATTTAGGTAGACAATTATAATGTTGTATTGTAGATGCCTTGTCCAAGAGTGTGTGACAAAAGATAAATGAATTTTATACCTTTTGGAAGTTAGACCACCCAATTCACAATTTCATACACTAATTTGTTATATCTTAAGCCTCATTAGCAAGAAACATGTTAAGGATGACCCCATTTTTTAAAATAGTACATTCTCACTTAATTTAATCACCCACTGTTTATTTTAGATAGATTTAACATTCATTTTTGATCAAAAAAGATAGACAGATTGATATGGATGAAGAATTATAGATGTGCGTAAATAAATAAGAATGATCTTAACATAAAATGGTTTTAGCGATGTGTATAAATTGGAATCAAAGTGGATTAATGAAATAATTCTAAAAGAAAAGTCTAATGACAAAGACTCTCATCTCATATCTTGAATCAAGCATTTTTTTCGATAAACGCAATTATAAATTAACTCATCTTAAAACAAGTATTTTATAATCCAACTTTTGGAACCTAGATGAATTTTTGGTCAGTTGCAATGCATACATGAAAAATGCAGAGCACAGTTTGGGAAAATGTTTTTACTTGTCTCATAGGGACCAATAATGCACATGCTGACAAGAACTATAATGTGTATATATATATATATACACACACATATTAAGTAATTGGATACCTTTTATATAAGGAATGTTATGGAAAAATGATACGTCTTCTGAATTCGAAAAATGTATTCTTACTCTTCTTCTGAATTATAAAAATGGTATTGATCCAAACGGTTTGACAAAGTAGAACTAAAGAGTACAGTTCAAATTGTTTCGGGTTTAGTTGAAGGTTTGAACATGTCCATTTGCAACTTCCTAAAAATAGACATTTTTGAAAAAACAAAGCCCCCAAAATTCAAGAGAAGAGTTGCTGAAAGCTTACGTGAGCTCTGTTTCAGTGTGATCCAAAACAAAAAATATTAGGTAGCTGACACATTCATCTTTCACATTCTAAACTGGATTAGACAAATAGCGACCTTTATTCTCAAAAGCCCATGCACAACTCAGCCCATCTTGCTCCTGAACTTGGGCCAGTTGGATGGGCCTTATAGGCTGAAATTGTTAGACCGTTTAGAACCTACCCACTAAGAACTTAGCTATAGTGGTATCATTTTTTTTTTTCTTTCAAAGTATACCGTATACATGATTACTGAATAATTGCATAAATATATTGCATTTTTTCATTGAGACACACAAATAATAATGATAATAACAAAAATAATTTCTGTTGGATAAGTCCATGCACCGTGTACTCAAAGCAATCAATAGCTATTCTAAATTAATTTGATGAAAAAGGTACGTGTATCTTTTGTATTTGACCTTATATTTAACATTACATGATCCAATATTTCACCATTCTCCACTCAAGTTTACCAATCCTTGCAAGTCTATTTAAATTAAATCATTCTTAGAAATTAAATCATTTTCAAATGTATGATTTTGAAACAAACTAAATGTGTCAAGAAATAATTACACTTCTCTCAACTTGGTAGCGTTTTTCTTAAGTATTCTTGATAAACCAGTGTTTATATATAAACTTAGGCTCACATTCCCCTCGAACTTCACTTTGTCCTTTATTTTTCTGGCCTTGACCTTCTTCCCCTTCTCCCTCATCTCTAAAAACATACTATGTAGCAACGGTTAGTGGCGATTCGAAACAGAAATATGGACCTCAAACTCTCGGGCCGGGCCAGGCCCGGCTCTCCATCACATACATGCTCCATTACATGATTCTGAAATCATTTTATCTAAGCATTCGAGTGCATAGCAGTATAATAATAATACAAACTAGAAGCAGAAATATGTCCAAAAATCAATATCCACAGTAAACAACAACTCATTTCATTAACATTTATCAATTTAATGTAATACTGATCTGGTGCACACAAGTTCTCAAGTATTACGGGCTCACAAGCCACGGTTGTGAATCTCAGTACTGGAGCTTAGATATTCTGCAAAAAATAATTAGCAACTCATAAGGCTGGTTTCGTGTATTTGGTGATTGCAAATTGATAAGCTTGATTATTGGTTTTTAAAAATAAACAAATAAAACATTTTTTTTCCTTACTGCTAGAGTTTTTGGTTGTGTCTAGCCATAGATGGTTAGATAGATAAAAGAGTTTTTTTTTTTGAAAAAAAAAAGAAAAAAAAAAAAGAAAAGAAACCATCTATCCATATGTCTCTATCACATTTATACAAGAGGTGTTTATTTTTTATTTTATTTTATTTTATTTTTTTTGAAGGGTAAATGTTAGGGGTTAGTTGGTGCCAAGACTCGAACTCATGCGTTCCAAAAACCAACGTGAAGCAACTTACACAAGAGTTTTTGGTTGTGTCTCTCCATGAGCAATGTAACAGGCGCCTCATCTATCCAATCAATGTTTTTGCTCATGGAGAGAGAGCATATGTACGGAGCAAGTTTTAACCAAAATCTAAAGAAAATTTATAAAATCGAGATGGATAGATAGAAGATACAAGAGGTATTTTTTATTTTTTTATTTTTATATTAAAAATATATATATATATTAGGTATGCGTGCTGTTGATCATTGACCAGCTTAATCTACCATTGTCTTTGCTTTATGCCAGTTGAATTCTAAAGAAGGGTTATGATAGAACTTTGACCATAGTGAGAATAAATGTGAATAGCAAGTGAATTTTCAATTAGTAATAGACTTACTGAATTTGCAAGTAAAATAGGGCATCATTCATCAAGTGATTTTCAACATCAACTTGCTACAAAACCTGTCCAGAGATTGTATTAGCACACAATAAGGAAACATGAATGCGAATGTTGACAACCTTGTTCATGGAACACCATGTGAATGAGCATTAAATTTTTAAACGACAGTAAAAATATATTAAGGAAAATTTAGAAGTTACTTTCCGTTTGTTTCGTAAAATATTCTTTTGAAGAAAGGTAAAATATTTTTTTAATTTTTACTTTTCTTGGTATTTGGCAAAGATTTAGGTTGAGGTTAAAGTCAAGTCTATCGGGTCGAGTGTAGTGTGTAAAATAACTTGTCAAAAATTAATGGATAAATTATTTTTATTAAGTTTTAATATTTTTTTTCTTCATAAATATTTTACTGGCAACCAAACACCAGAAAAAAAATATATATATTTTTTAAAAAATATTTTACATCCAAACAAACATTACATATAAAAGAACCAAAGAATAATTGCTGAGAGCATACCTACGAAGATTCTGAGGCACAAAATAGCATTCCCATTCTTGACCCACCATACTTGGGTTTGGATGCAGTTCTCCAGCCTTTGTGTAATGGGCCGAAAGAACATGTTACCACCCTGACCAAATAAACTTATAATGTCAGACCACACACAATATTGCAAGTCTAGCATGAGAACTAGGAAAATAACTCAAATCAGCCCAATAAAAAAGACACCAAGTTATTCAATCATTTCCCCATAAATGAAGACTCACGGACCCAAATAGTTAGTTGTAACTTGTAAAGCACAATTTAAAAGCCTGTTCATTAGTAAAATTTCTTAACAGTAATCATCCTAGAGTTATTTGCTATTGCCCATAGCTTGTCTCAGCCACCACTAAACATATGCTCACAGCTTATATTGCCTCTCTGGATTGAATATCCTTGCTCCACAGAGAAGCCGCAGAAAAATGGATGACAAAATATGTAGCGATCGAATCAGGAATTGCAACCTTAATCACAATTATGAGTACCAATAGAGACAATAAGTCTCCAGTAGTAAATAGGCACAGAAATATATGTTGAAAGCTAACTATAACTTTTGGAGTGGAAGAAACAAAGTAGCAAACATTTGTGGCAATTCAAACTGCTTTTCTTGCGTATTCTTGATAAACTAGCGTTTTTTAATATATAGACATAGGTTCACATTCCCCTCGCACCTCATGCTGCCTCTGTTTGTCTTTTGCTTTTTTGGCCTTAGACTTTCCCCTCCCCCAAGCTCCAAGAACCTACATGTGAAAAACATTTCAGCTAAGCATGAGTATGAAAAACATTGCAGTCGTCCTGACAGAGAGGTTAGTCTTCGACAATAATAAATCTCAAGCTTCTGGAGAGAAGTGAGACTTCGAAACGGCTCCTCAGGCAGAGTAACTAGATCCATAATGAATCTTAAAGACAGAGACTTTAAATTGGAAAGAGGAAGAAGCAAAGAAGATGAAGAGGACGACGTTGCGACAGTTGTTGGGGACACCATCATCATTAACTGTGGTTGTACTAGATTGTTGTTGACTCAACTGAGATCTAGTGTTTCAAGACATGGTTGCAGAAAAGGCACTGATGCCAGATTATGGCAGCCACGGATGGTTAATTTGGAAAGAGAAGGAAATGATGGGAGCTGATGATATTGCTGTTGGGCTGGTGAAGAAGTGGTGGTCGCTGTTGCTTCTTCTGCTTCAGTAGTACTCCTCCACCATCCCTTCAATATAGGCAACTCAGAGAGCTCGAGTTCTTTCAGGGATGGGAAGAATATTGATGTTGGTGTTGGTTCTCTTCTTCTTGCTGCTGCTGCACTCGATGAGGAGGGTAAAGAAGAGAAGCAGGAATTTTCATGTTGGTGTTGCGTCTCTTCGTCTATGTACTCTAGGGATTTCATGCGTTTAACCCGAAGAAATTGGAGAGAAGGAAGTTGCCCAAATGGTGGAAGATGTTTCCATCCGTTAAAGCTTTCTACATCGATTCTGACTAGATTTGGGAGGGATAACCCAATTTTGTCAACCATCATCCAACTTGGGAAACTCACTTCCAAATAATTAAATAATTCCAGCTTCTTTAGATTCAGGTGTGGACGCAGGACTTCCAACAATAACCCGTGCCCAAAATCTCCTGCCCATCTCCAAGAATTAAAATCTCCTCCCCACCTCCAAAAATTAAACTTCCAACTTAGGCCATTTGCTGATGTTGTTTTTATGAGACATGTTATACGATTCACAATTTTTAAACGATTGGGGGGCGGGGGTCCCTGGGTCCATCAACTTGTAACCTTCCCCGTAAATTGTTTAGGCTTTGCAATTCATTCAATCGGCTATCTGACTCTGTTACAAACAATGTTAATTTAAAAAGAGACGTCAACTCACCCAATCCATTAGGCATGCAACTCAATGTATTACAGCCGTCAAGTTCAAGAGGTCTAAGACTGACCAATTTCTTAAAATCACTTGGCAATTCTTTAAGAGACCAACACATTGAGTTTTAAGGTCAGCAAATTTTGCAATGTGGTTATGGAACTTGGCAGGGTCTCCATACTCTCATTTTTACTGAGATCAAGATACCTTAACTGTTTTAACTTGCCTATGTAACTCGGCACAATCTCAATTCCCGCGGAATGCAAATCCAATACGCGTAACCTTTTAAAACTTGAAAAAATTCTTTCACAACCTAATTTATCAAAAATTTCAACCTTTCCATGATTTTTAAAAATTGTTCGTAACTTGTTAGCTTTAACCAAGCGGGTTGAAATTTGTTATGATAAATTTACATTGGAATCAAGTGACACGTGACGAATTTTTTCATCAACAATTTCTACATCCAAATTCACCATGAAAAATTTGGCCTTCGCAACCAATTGCGCAAGATCGTGAACAAGATCATGCATTTTGCAACTTATTACATAACCCCCTTCATCTCTTTGGACATCTTGAAAAAGGGACCTCCTAAGTAAATTCATAAAATACAAGTTACCAACATCCTCCAACTGCTGATTTTCATACACCGGCCCCCGAATGAATCCCTCTGCAATCCACAATTGGATTAATTTTTGCTTATCGATAATTTGATCTTTTAAATACAAGGAACATAATGCAAAACAACTCTTCAGATAAGCTCCCACTCATCCATTGTATCTTTAATGTATAGTACGCTTCCTACAGCCCTTATGGCAAGAGGGACTTCTTTACACTTCCGAACAATTTCCTTGCCGATTGTTACTTGAAATGTATTCTCCAACTCTTTCCCTTGTTTGAATGCCATTTTTTCAAATAAAGACCAGGACTCCTCCTCCGACAAGCCTTTTAAAATATATGGTGAATTTGACCGTGTAACATTTGCAACCAACTCAGAACGAGTAGTTACTAAAATTTTACTTCCTGTCATACCACTCATCAGCAAATCTATCATTTGTAACCATTTGTCACGATTCTCGTTCCACACATCATCCAACACAAACAAAAATTTCTTTTCACTAATTTTTTCTTGCAATTTATCCATCAAAACCTATCATCTTTTCTGCAATGACCTTCGCATAAAAAATGTTAGAAACAGACACCCACGTCTTAATTTCAAAATGTTTAGTGACCCTCTCATCATTATACACTAATTGTGTAAGTGCGGTCTTTCCCAGTCCCCCAATTCCAACTATTGCAACAACTGACACGTTCTGATCTTCAACATTGGTTTCCAATAAAAGTTTTACAATTTTCCTTTTATCAACATCTCTCCCGATAACACTTTCTGCACGAACAAAAGAGTAAGTCTCCTCTCTCTTAATATTCTCAACTCGTATCTGATTTATAGGCCGTTCAGTGAGGTGAAACTTTTTCCTATCTTCGGCAATTGTATCTAGTCTCTCCCTAATGGCCTTAATCTCATGAGCCAACTTAATACTGAAAGGAAGCTTGTTTGAGCTAGAGAAAAAATGGCGTACCTTCTTTAGCCTTGTGTTGGGAGTCATAGCCTGACGGCGAAGTTGGGTGGCATCATTGAGTTTATGGAGCCAGTCTTCAACCTCATGGTTTGTGAGTTGCTGCTCCTCTGCATCGGCAAGTGCAGCTCCGATTGTGGAAACTGTGTTTATGAGTTTCTCAAGTTCATCCTTGACGCCCCACACAAGTCCCATCTCTTGGAGAAGAGCGGAACCCAACTTCTTCACAATTTCAGTCAGAAGTGTTTCTGCCATTTCTTTGGAAGAGACGCTCAGTAGTTTCGTTGTGTAGCTACATAATAAGCCCTTGAGAAAATTGAAGGATTAACAGAATAGTAAAAAAAGAAATACTAGTAATTCGCCACTCACTCAAAGTAAGTGAAAATTGATTGAAAGCTAAATAAAGGAAAAGCATGAAAATGAGAGCCCACAAGAATTGATAAATGAGTGCAATTAATATGGTCATGTCATGATAATCAGGTGGGAGCCCAAGCATTTTTTTTTTTTTTTGTTCTTTTTCTAATGTGGACAAGAAAAGGAAAGTGGTAAGCAGTGAGCATGGTTGTGGTAGTGGCTTTCGCTTTCATCATCTCAAGTTCAAAATTGGAGTGCAGAGGATGAACCCAAAAAGGCCTCGTTTTACCATTATCTAAAAGTACGTCCCAGAAATAAAATAAAATAAAATTAGTATAGTCAATTTTAACTCAGCTAATAAATAAATAAAATAAATAAGTAAATATTAGTATTAGCCCACCCTTTAACATTTTCTGGATCTCCTCCCATTAAATTTAAACACCAACACTGAACCTATATGTAAAGTTTTTGACTTTTCAACTGTGGGACCCACCACCCACTCAAACATATGGTTTAGAGACTTTTTTTTTATGCTCATTCTCTCTCCCCGCTGAATCCTTTCTCTCGGCCAGTGATCTATCTCTCTGCCTTTTTCTTTTTCTTTTTCCTTTGCAACTTGAATCTTTGATTAATTCATCATCTCTTGGTAGATTTGGGTGCCGTTTGAGGCAAAACGAAGCTTGTGTCGAGCTCTACGCATCCATACCAACAATTCCAGATTTGGTGCACCCTTTGAACTTCGAAATTTAGGACCCATTTCTAGGGTTTTGCCTATTTTGAGGTAGGGGTATCTTAATCCACTCTAGTCTTGTTCTATTGTGAATTTTACCTCCATGTTGTATTAAATATGCTTAATTTAGAGTTAATTATATCTATGATGGTATTAATGATGTCTAGAGGGTTTTCACGATCTTGAATATGGTTGGTTCATGTGCAAATTATATTTAGTTGTTGATTTACTATGTTTACTATGTGCTAGCATGCTAAAATTGATGTATGAGAGTATGCTTATTTAAATTGAGCCAAATTTCCCAATTCATGATGTTGAGCTCATATATATATATACATGCACATGCTTAAATGTATTTTGTTGTATCTTAATGTGTTAATAATTACTTGGGAGATGTTGAACATGTTGAATGTTTAATTTTATGATGGAAAATTTTAAATGCCATGACATTGAATGTATGGAACATATATACATGCACATACCATTGGGTTTGCATGAAATGGGAGAAATTGTTTTTGAAATAAATAGGGGGAATTTCAGGGAAGTGTTTTTGATAAAATGGTTTTATGCGAAACCCGGTCGCTGCGGGTTACCAACGGGCCAGAGGTTAATATAGCCTAGAGGGGACTAGGGAGTCGCCCTAGTGTGGTTGAGCTAGCTGGGCCCCATAATGACGCCGCGGGGTTACCAAGGGTCAGGGACACTAGCCAATCCTCCTCTCGTGTCGCGGCGGGGTTACCAAAGGGCGGGCTATATTAACGTTTGAAAGTGATGGTTTTGAGAATGAAAATGGGGAGTGTCATTGACATGCATTGCATTTCATTGCATTGCATTGCATTGGTTATAATTGGAATTGAATTGTATGTTGTATTTGATCCCCTACGTTGTATGATCCCTATCTCCCATTGGCCTATGCTTTGCTTGAATTCACAAGGACACAAGATTTGTGTCTTAAGTGTCACCTACTGAGCATATAGCTCACCCTACTATTTATACATTTTTTTCAGGTCTTGGAAAAGAACCGGTGAACGACAACCCACCTCAAGCTTGAGCGATACTAGAAGCTCACTTTTGTGTCTTTTGTATATTTCCCATTATTTTTGCAAAGCACTAAAAGTATAAAGGTATATATGTATATTTTGCAAAACTTTGTCATGTAACCTTGTTGATGAATGGGATTGTGTCTGATCATATACTGTTGCCGTGATAGGTTAAAAATGAATTTAAACAGGGTATGGTAGGCCTATTTTTAGGGGAGGTTATGCCGAATTTTTTGTAAAATTCTTGGCATCAGCTAGGGTCGTTACAAATTTGGTATCAGAGTAAAGGTTCGAAAACCTTTAGGATGACGGGTAGAGGCCTACATAGAGTCGCATGGAATGTTGTTTGTGTTGCTTACTTGACTACTTGCTACGTGGTATCTTATTTAAATGAGCATGCTTAACTACCTATGTGCTTACTTGCTTACTTGTTTATGTTAAAATGTTTCTTGCATAGTCTTGCATGCTAAGTGTTATACGGTATTAATTCTTGTTGAGTCGTCAACAGTGGACCTTAGTGTCATGTTTCTGAATCATTTTCTAGTTTATAGCACGATGTCACGGCGTGAGGAACCTAGAGAAGTTAGCCCTAGACCAACAAGGGGTGATGTTGGTGAGAGCTCCAGCTCCAATCCGGAAGAGCTAAATGATGAGAACATGCTTCTTAGGGACTTGATTCCCCCAAGAGCTGTTCCCCCAAGAAGAGACAATATTGAAACACCCGTACCCGTAGAAGTAGGTGAAGGTTCTGCGGCACTAGAGTTTAATCGTTTGTTGCAAAATGTCGTGAGGGCAACGATTGTTGCTCAGCCACAGTTGGTACCACAACCTACAGTTCGAGTTGAGGAGACTCTAGCTCAGAAGCGTCTCAAGATCATTAAGGGGTTTTCTCAGCTGATGCCGGTTATGTTTGAGGGCGGTGCGGATCCAATGGTAGCCGACAACTGCATGGATCAAGTCGAAACTCAGTTGACCTCAATGGATGTGACAGAGGATCACTTGAAGATCATCCTAGCAACTTACAAGTTTGCTATGGATGCCAAGGTTTGGTGGAAGTCGATCACCAACCAGTACAAGATTGAAGAGATGAGTTGGGACAGGTTCAAGGAACTGTTCTATGAAAAGTATTTTCCGCTTTCCAAAAGATGGGAGTTACAAGACTAGTTTCATAACCTTATTCAAGGGAACATGTCAGTGGCGGAGTATGAGAATAAGTTCACCTCACTCTCCCGTTTTGCTCTAGAAGTGGTGAGAGATGAAGCTAACAAGACTCGGAAGTTTGTCTCGGGTCTTAATGATCGAATGAGGCCGTTGATCACGGCACAGTTTATTAAGGTTTACTCTAAAGCAGTGGAAAGGGCTTTGATGCTGGAGGCTGATAATAGAGATAAGGATGCAAGAAGAGAGCAATTGAAGCAAAAGAGGGGTGCAGGGCCATCCTCAGAGGGATCTTTTTGGAAAAAGAAGAGGGGCAGTCCATCTCAGTTTCAGGGGCAACAGTCTACAAGATCTGCTCCTACCACTCCTATGCCAGCTGGATCTGACAGGAGTGCAGTTGTTTGTTATCAGTGTCAGCAGCTCGGACATTACAAGTCCAGTTGTCCGATGAGATCGTCTTCAGTTTCGTCAGCTCCGAAGGCTTGTTATGGGTGTGGCCAGCAGGGTCACTTGATTCGTGATTGTCCGAGTCAGAGAGCAGGCAACATTAGTGGCAGAGGGTCACAGCAGAGGCCGTCACAATCGGCTACAGTTCAGTCAGGTTTCAGACCACCACCACAGCCTACTATGTCTTCACAGGGTTCACGATCAGTTAGGAGGGATACTCCTACTATGTCAGTGCAGCAGTCAGGTGTTCAGGTTGGCAGTCCTCAGGCACAGGTACCACAGGGACGTGTTTTTGCACTGGCACAGACTGATGCATCTTCTGGACCGTCAGTCCTTCGAGGTATATTTCCAGTGTTTGGTTGTTGGGCCCGTGTTTTATTTGACTCTGGTGCATCTCATTCTTTCATTTCATCATTATTTGCACTTACATCCGGGTTGGAAGTTAGTTTCTTGGAACGGGCGTTGAGTGTTGATACGCCAGTTGGGGTTTCAGTGTCTTTGAGCCGAATTGTGCGGGAATGTCCCATTGTGATAGTTGGGCGGACTTTCGTGTTTGACCTTATCCTCCTAGAGATGACTAGCTTTGATGTCATTCTCGGGATGGATTGGTTGGCTTCATTTCATGCCACGATCGACTGTTACAGAGGAAGGGTTACAGTTTGCACTCCCGAGGGAGACTGTTTCTTTTTCGTGGGAGATCGGAGTGATTCCCACATTTCATCATTTTATGGAGTTCGTGGACAAAGTCATGGTGATTATTTCTTAACTAGTCTTCTAGCCGAAGAAGATGATGTCGTGGGAGAAGTTTATCCGGCGATTGTTTGTGACTTCTTGGATGTTTTTCCAGAAGATTTGACAGAGTTGCCTTCACACCGAGAAGTGGAGTTCACTATTGATTTGATGCATGGTACCGCGCCGATTTCTATGGCACCGTATCGTATGGCACCAGTTGAACTGGAAGAATTGAAGAGGCAGCTTGATGATTTGAGGATGAAAGATTTCATCCGACCGAGTGTGTCACCGTGGGGCGCACCGGTCTTGTTTGCTAAGAAGAAAGATGGTTCGTTGAGGTTGTGCATTGATTATCGGAAGTTGAATTATGCCACCATCAAGAACAAGTATCCTTTGCCAAGGATAGATGATTTATTTGATCAGTTGAGGGGAGCCAGTTATTTCTCGAAGATTGACTTGAGGTCTGGCTATTATCAGTTGCGGGTTAGGGATGAGGATATCCCGAAGACAGCATTCCGTACATGGTAAGGACACTATGAGTTCCTTGTTATGCCTTTTGGCTTGACTAATGTGCCAGCGGCATTCATGGACTTGATGAACCGCGTCTTTCACGATTACTTGGACCAGTTTGTGGTAGTTTTCGTGGATGACATTCTTGTGTACTCACGGACTCGGGAAGATCACGAGGTCCATTTGAGTATTGTTTTACAGATTTTGCGGGAACACCGATTGTATGCCAAATACGAGAAATGTGAGTTTTGGCTACAGGAGGTGAAGTTTTTGGGGCATGTTGTTTCAGAAGGTGGAGTATCAGTTGATCCATCAAAGGTTGAAGCAGTTTTGACTTGGGAGCGACCCAAGAATGTGTTTGAGATCCGCAGTTTTCTTGGTTTAGCGGGTTACTATCGGAGATTTGTGAAGGATTTCTCCCGTTTGGCAGCTCCTATGACCCGTTTGACCCGGAAAGGGGTCAAGTTTGTCTGGAATGAGGCCTGTGAGTCATCTTTCCAGGAATTGAAGACAAGATTGACTACAGCTGCAGTGTTGGTGATACCTGAGCGAGGCTTGGGTTATGTGATCTATTGTGATGCTTCACGTGACGGGTTAGGATGTGTGTTGATGCAGGATGGTAGAGTAGTAGCTTAACTACCCTACTCATGATCTGGAGTTAGTGGCAGTTGTGTTTGCCTTGAAGTGTTGGAGACATTATTTGTATGGTGAGAGATTCGAGGTATTTTCAGATCACAAAAGTCTCAAGTACCTTTTCTCCCAAAAGGACTTGAACAACAGACAGAGATGATGGGTTGAGTACTTGGAATATTACAACTTTGATTTGCAGTATCATCCAGGCAAGGCAAATGTTGTAGCTGATGCCTTAAGCCGAAAATCTCGTGGAACTTTGGCCAGTTTAGCTATTCGGAAGTGGAAGATGCTTGAAGATCTGGCAGAGATAGGATTACAGTGTTGTGATAATGATGGTTGCAGTGAGTCGGCATTCTTATTTAGTCTTGTGGCTCAGCCTACTCTTGTTGTACGAGTGATTGAGTCACAGAGACAGGACCCGGACATAGATGCCATCCACGCTTTGATCTCTAGTGGTGAGACAGTGAAAGATTGGGCCTTGCATGCAGATGGGGGTCTACGGTTCAGGGGTTTGTTGGTGGTTCCCACAGTTTGTCGTTTCACACTTCCCGTTTTGCAGTTCATCCAGGTGGTACTAAAATGTATCACAATTTGAGACGTCAGTATTGGTGGAGCGGGATGAAGAATGATGTTACACAGTTTGTGGCTAGATGCCTTACCTGTCAGCAGGTGAATGCCGAGCATCAGAGGCCAGTAGGTTTGTTGCAACCATTACCTGTAGCGCAATGGAAATGGGAGCATATTGCTATGGATTTTGTGACAGGTCTTCTAAGGTCACGAAGGGGCAATAAGTCCGTATGGGTCATCATTGATAGATTGACCAAGACGGCTCACTTTTTGCCTATTAAGGCAACAGATGATGCAGAGAAGCTTGGTGTTCTTTATGTGAAGGAGATTGTAAAGTTGCATGGAGTTCCTGTAACCATTGTGTCAGATAGGGATGCTAAGTTCACTTCGAAGTTCTGGGAAGGACTTCAAGTAGCGTTTGGTTCAGCGTTGCATCTTAGTACGGCATTCCATCCACAGACGGACGGTCAGTCAGAGCGTGCTATCCAGATTTTGGAGGATATGCTTCGGGCATGTGTACTTGATTTGGGAGGTAGTTGGGAGGATCACCTTCCATTTATTGAGTTTGCCTACAACAACAGTTATCAGACGAGTATCCAGATGGCTCCATTTGAGGCGTTGTATGGTAGACCTTGTAGGTCTCCTGTTTGTTGGACTGAGGTAGGTGAGACAGCCGCCTTAGGACCCGACATTGTACTCGAGACTACTGAGAAGATTAAGTTGATAAGACAGAGGTTACTTATAGCTCAGAGCCGACAGAAGAGCTATGCGGATAAGCGGAGATGACCGTTATCCTTTGAGGTGGGAGACCACGTTTTTCTACGGGTTTCTCCACGAAAGGGATTGATGAGATTCGAAAAAAGTGGCAAGTTGTCGCCACGATTTATTGGACCGTTTGAGATTTTGGACCGAGTAGGAGAGGTTGCCTACAGGCTTGCTTTGCCACCACAGTTAGATAGGGTCCACAATGTTTTCCATGTATCGATGTTACGGAAGTACGAATCGGATCAGTCTCACATTTTGAGTTGGGTAGATGTGGACATTGATAAGGATGTTTCCTACGAGGAAGGACCAGTTCAGATTCTTGACACACAACAGAAGGTGTAGAGGAACAAGACGATATCAATGGTGAAAGTCCTTTGGAGACACCACGGAGTGGAGGAGGCTACTTGGGAGCTCGAACAGGAGGTTCGGTCCAAGTACCCAGCGTTGTTTTCTTCTCCAGGTATGTCTTGATTTCGGGGACGAAATCTTTTTTAATTTGGGGAGAATGTAAAGTTTTTGACTTTTCAACTGTGGGACCCACCACCCACTCAAACATATGGTTTAGAGACTTTTTTTTTATGTTCATTCTTTCTCCCCGCTGAATCCTCTCTCTCGGCCAGTGCTCTATCTCTTTGCCTTTTTCTTTTTCTTTTTCCTTTGCAACTTGAATCTTTGATTAATTCATCATCTCTTGGTAGATTTGGGTGCCGTTTGAGGCAAAACGAAGCTTGTGTCGAGCTCTACGCATCCATACCAACAATTCCAGATTTGGTGCACCCTTTGAACTTTGAAATTTAGGACCCATTTCTAGGGTTTTGCCTATTTTGAGGTAGGGGTATCTTAATCCACTCTAGTCTTGTTCTATTGTGAATTTTACCTCCATGTTGTATTAAATATGCTTAATTTAGAGTTAATTATATCTATGATGGTATTAATGATGTCTAGAGGGTTTTCACGATCTTGAATATGGTTGGTTCATGTGCAAATTATATTTAGTTGTTGATTTACTATGTTTACTATGTGCTAGCATGCTGAAATTGATGTATGAGAGTATGCTTATTTAAATTGCGCCAAATTTCCCAATTCATGATGTTGAGCTCATATATATATATACATGCACATGCTTAAATGTATTTTGTTGTATCTTAATGTGTTAATAATTACTTGGGAGATGTTGAACATGTTGAATGTTTAATTTTATGATGGAAAATTTTAAATGCCATGACATTGAATGTATGGAACATATATACATGCACATACCATTGGGTTTGCATGAAATGGGAGAAATTGTTCTTGAAATAAATAGAGGGAATTTCAGGGAAGTGTTTTTGATAAAATGGTTTTATGCGAAACCCGGTTGCTGCGGGGTTACCAACGGGCCGGAGGTTAATATAGCCTAAAGAGGACTAGGGAGTCGCCCTAGTGTGGTTGAGCTAGCTGGGCCCCATAATGACACCGCGGGGTTACCAAGGATCAGGGACACTAGCCAATCCTCCTCTCGTGTCGCGGCGGGATTACCAAAGGGCGGGCTATATTAACGTTTGAAAGTGATGGTTTTGAGAATGAAAATGGGGAGTGTCATTGACATGCATTGCATTTCATTGCATTGCATTGCATTAGTTATAATTGGAATTGAATTGTATGTTGTATTTGATCCCCTACGTTGTATGATCCCTATCTCCCATTGGCCTATGCTTTGCTTGAATTCACAAGGACACAAGATTTGTGTCTTAAGTGTCACCTACTGAGCATATAGCTCACCCTACTATTTATACATTTTTTTCAGGTCTTGGAAAAGAACCGGTGAACGACAACCCACCTCAAGCTTAAGCGATACTAGAAGCTCACTTTTGTGTCTTTTGTATATTTCCCATTATTTTTGCAAAGCACTAAAAGTATAAAGGTATATATGTATATTTTGCAAAACTTTGTCATGTAACCTTGTTGATGAATGGGAAGGATAATTTTAGTTAAAGTAATTATCGGTGTTATTTGATTGTGTATGATCATATACTGTTGCCGTGATAGGTTAAAAATGAATTTAAACAGGGTATGGTAGGCCTATTTTTAGGGGAGGTTATGCCGAATTTTTTGTAAAATTCTTGGCATCAGCTAGGGTCGTTACACTATATAAGTTCATATATAGCATTTGCTTTTAAGCTAGTGTCTAACTGTAAAAATGTTAGTTCCACGTCTCAAGCAATCACTTTAATCATGAATTTTAGGTCTGTGTCTCAGTTATTTCACCACAATCATTCAATCCATCTTTATAGCAACACTAAAAAAAGAAGGAATAATTAATTCAAAGTAAAGTAGTTTTATTGGCCGATAGAAGCATATGAAAAAACTAAGAAGTTTTTTTTTTATTTTTTAATGGCAAACAACAAAACATTAAGAAGGGTTACAATCCACATAAACTGCCCGAAACACAGCATCAGGCAAACAATCCACAACAAAATCCTGCCCAAAACATTTGGGAGACAATGTGTAACAACCTTAAACTGATGCCAATTAAAAAAAAATAATAATAATAATAATAATTGACATGACCTTTGCTAAAAATGGTCCTACGCCAACCTGCTTAAATAAAAAAATGCAATAGCCTCTCTTGGACCTTTAAAATTTATCTAACCTGTTCCAGCACACAATACAAATAATATAAAACATTCTCAAAACAACAACATCAACAACCTCCTCAAAATAGCCCATCACCATCAACCCTTTCATCCAGAATAAATGAGTACTTGTCTTATACATAGTTTCATGCATACATACTAGAATTTTACTCCAATTACATTTACTTACAGTCCATGAATATAATTACAATAACAAGAGTCCATAAGTCTCTGTACAGAATACAATATACTAAGTTTTACAAAAATAGTGAGACTTGGATACAAAAATAGCAAAATGATCTTCTAAACCAAATTAGGCGTGTGGTAGAGCGTCATCCGCCACTTCTTTCCCATGTCCTGAAAAATGTTAAAATAATAAGGTGAGCATAAAGCTCAGTAAGTGGTGCCTGAGACACACCTCTTGTGATCCCGTGAATCCAAATAATAAATAGAAAATAGGAAGTGGGGTCATACTATGTCGGGAAGGAATATAACATTAATTCCAATTCCAAAATAAAAATACCGTGCCATGATATGTGATGCCATGAATGTCGCTCCCCATTTTCAAAAGGTCGAGTCGGTCCTTGCCCTGAACCTACCCCACCAACTGGAGTTCCACCTCTCTTTGGACAATCTTTCTTCCTATGATCAGGTTGACCACATATAAAACAAACTCCAGAACTAAGCCGACTCTAAGGGCACTCTGCTTTTAAATGACTTGTCTGCTTGCACCTACAACAATCCTTCTTGACCTTAGGGGATGTCTCCAGCGGTGACGTAAAAACAACAGGAGAATTAGAAGAATCACCCTTTAACATCTTTCATGCATGACTCTATAAGCCCCTATCTCCCTGTCTGTCCATAACCACTGTTCTCTCCGACTGTACCATTGACCTTTTAGTCTCTATGACTACTGCATGTACAAAGTTTGTCATGACCTCAACCAAATTCTTAACCAAAGAATCCCAATCAAAAAGCTCGTCTTGCTCCCCACCATCATCTGCCTCTCTACGTTTTCGGAGGCATAACTCTAAAAATGGCAAGAAAATAGTCAAATACAACACAAGCATGTGACCCTGACTCAAAGCTTTGGATACTCACATAATTCGAAACTAAGACACAACACTTAAGAGCACACCAAACAACTCACCCTATAAAACTGTACCCTTCCCAAACATGTACACCTATCATAAAATCGTATACAAAGCCGCATACTAACCATTTCTAAGTATACATGATGTACGACACCATCATCATAACTTAAGCCTATAATGGGTGATCAAGTCATAATTTCCTAATCAAGAAAACACATAACAAATAAACATGCTTTCACTTAACATATATGCTTCATTTACATGTACCGACATCTAAACACGTAAACACATAGCAAATTGGAATGCCTTCAAAACTGTAAACATATAAGCATGTGATCACATAAGCAAATAAACAAGTAAACAAGTAGGCATACTTCTTAAACATTTAAACACTTTAGTCATGCAATTCAAACTTCCCCATGCAAACCTAAGTAGGCCTCTACCCGTCGTCCTAATGGTATTCGAACCATGTCTTTAATACCAAATTTGTAACAACCCTAAACTGATGTCAATTAAAAAAAAAAAAATTCGACATGACCTCTACTAAAAAGGGTCCTATGCCAACCTGCTTAAATGCATAAAAAAATGTAATGGCCTCTCTTGAACCTTCAAAATTTATCTAACCTGTCCCAGCACACAATTCAAATAATATAAAATATTTCCAAAACAACAATATCAACAACCTCCTCAAAATAGCCCATCAACATCAACCATTTCATTCAGAATAAAGGAGTACTTGTCTTATACATAGTTCTATGCACACATACTAGAATTTTACTCAAATTACATCTACTTACAATTCATAAATAAAATTACAATAATAAGAGTTCATAAGTCTCCGCACAGAATACAATATATTAAGTTTTACAAAAATAGTGAGACTTGGATACAAAAATAGCAAAATGATCTTCTAAACCAAATTAGGCATATGGTGGAACATTATTCGCCACTTCTTTCCCATGTCCTGAAAAATGTTAAAATAATAAGGTGAGCATAAAGCTCAGTAGGTGGTGCCTAAGAGATGCCTCTTGTGACCCCGTGAATCCAAACAATGAATAGAAAATAAGAAGCGGGGTCATACTATGCCGAGAAGGAATACAACATTAATTCCAATTCCAAAATAACAATGTCGTGCCATAATATGTGATGCCATCAATGTCGCTCCCCGTTTTCAAAATCTAAATCCATAACTTTTCAAATTATTAATATGACCCGTCCATTGGTGACTTCGCGGCTACACGAGTGTTAGATTATTTATTTAATTATGGCCCACATGATTTGGACATGTGACATATGACTTGATGGCTAAGTAAATAAATATCAATTAATATTATTTATTTTTGGTCAACTTATAATTACCTTTTTAGTAATTACTTATTGGAGAAGTGTTTTCCTTTCTTATTTCTTACTTTGATGGAAAGTAGAATTATGTACTAAAAGGAAAACTGATCATCTCTCTACCTTTATAAAAGTGCATATACTCTATCAATTATGTACGATTAAGGATACAACACGTAAAAGTTTTATATGTGCAAAAGGGCAAGAGAGAGAAACCAATTTCCACCTTTGCCTGTTGATTAGAGTTGCAAATTAGTTCATAGTTAAAGGATCTAGACGTTGGATTTAATCTCAGTAAGGTTTGATATCATGATCGAGATATGTATATCTAACTATATATAGTTATGCGTTATAAGGATGTGAAATTAATTGAAGTTATAAAATTTAGGGATTTATGATTATTTCTGATTAAAGTCTAACACAAATTAATTAGAGTTTACATGTGGTATCAGAGCCCGTAGTTTTGGAACTCATTATTTTTCCATTATACTTGCATAAATAATATGTTTAAGTTTAATTAAAATTATTTAATTATTTAATTTTAATTTATTATATTCGTAGAGCTTTAATAGAGATCCGTATGCCAGATCAAAATTTTCCTAATTCGGGTACCTATTTTTGAATCGAGTGTCAAGAACTTGTATAATGATCAGATTTGTTTTTGTTATATGTTTGTCGAGACGTCTGATGTTATATACCTCGATTTTCGAAATTATGTGTGTTGATATATATTATGTTGACTTTGACAAACTTAAATTTTAAAAAATAAAACTGGATTGTATATTATATAGCATAATGAGACAAAAAAACAAGTTAATATATATTGTGTTGCTATGATTTTCGTACATAATGATGAACTTACAGTAGTTGAAAGTTAGAACCATTATGTATACATTCTGAACTTTTGTTTATGATAGTAGTTGAAAGTTATAACCATTATGTATACATTCTGAACTTTTGTTTATGATTCCGCCACGTAAATCGAGGTTCTCAAAAGGTGATGATGTCTTTTTTTGTTTTGTACTTAATTGAATATATGCTTATTAATATACACTACAGTACATGTATTTATGAAATTTTAGGACACCCACTAGCGGTTTAATTAATTGACTTTGTAAATTATGTGTGCATAATATGGTGTGTAATTTAATGTTGAATTTATTACTAGATAATTAAATATTCATATTATAGAAAGATTGGTAGCTACCAAAGTGGTCTAACCATAATGATTAATGGATATTAATTTTAGTGTTAGACATAATTGCAATATTTCATGAATAATGATGCTTATAATTTTTTGTAAAATTCATGAATATTGGGTTTATTCAATTATTAAAAATAATTCCTCAAAGGGAATTAATTTTCAAGTGAATAAATAAACATTAAGGAGTTGTATGTAATTTTTAATTGGGTAGATATAGGATATCCAAAGGTAACTTGTCTATTTAATTAATTAGTGCATCACTAATGAAGCTATATATAAATAAATACATCTAAGCATCATTTTTTATTTTTATTTTTTTTTGGTTACTACCTAAAGGGGTACCATAGTTGTACAATGTATTTATTTATTTTTATATCTGTTGTTATCTCAAAGTATTAATGTTATGAGCATTTACCTTATTATGATTATTTTATTGCAGTATCTCTTCCTGTTTCAGTGAATTCGCATGCTTCATCTGTTCCAATTCTCAATGGGACTAACTTCTCAGAATGGAATGAGCAAGTTCAGTTCAACTTAGGTGTGCTAGATCTTGATTTAGCATTTCAAATTGAGAAACCTACTGCTATTACTGGTGAAAGCAGTGAGGAAGAAAAGTCTCTCCATAAAGTTTGGGAAAAATCGAACAGATTGAGTATTATGTTTAAGCGAAAGACTATTGCAAACAATATTAAAACAACTCTTCCCCAAACTGATAGTGCTAAGGAATATTTGAAAAATATTGAAGAACGTTTTCGTA